ATACCAATGATCTGAGGTGCTTCCAAAACTAAATGATAGTGTTTGTTAGTACTAAGCAATTTTTAATGACAGATTGGTTCCAAATCTTTTGCCTGCCAAATTATTATTGCTCTGCTGACTTCCCAATGTTTTATTTAAAATAATGTATAACTTTGCAACATGCTTGCACAGATTCAAATTAAATAGGAATGACAAAGACTGATCTCCCCTCTTCCAAAGTTTAAAGCAATATACTTTTTATTAAATAGATTATAAGGTGTCTCCTGTCTTTTAATTTATTCTTCCTTTATATTTCATATACTCAAAATGACCTATAATTATAGCAGCTTGTAAAACTCTGTTTTCCTTTTGCTGATGATAAAAGGAGTCTGGATTAAATGGCATGATTGATGGTTTGTCACTGTTTTATTTAGCTTTATTTTGTTGCTATATCAGTATGGCATCAGTAGTGAGATAAGAGTACAGTCCTCAAGTTACAACCATTCATTTAGCAACTGCTGAAAATTACAACAGCACTGAAAAAAGTGGTGATGACATTTGGCATTGCATCACATGATCACATTCGACCACTGTATCAGAATGTATTTATGTTAGTTGTAGCATCCTGGGATCATGTGACTGCCATTTGCAACCTTCCCAATCAGCTTCCAGCAAGCAAAGTCAATTTGGAAACTTAGTTTCGCTTAAGAATTGCATGATTCACTTAGCTGCAGTGATTTCTTTAACCAGGGCAAAATAGGTTATAAAATCAGGCACAACTCACTTAGCAACCACCTTGCTTAGCAACAGAAATTCTGATCTCAAGTGTGGTCATAAGTTGAGGACTGCCTATACTGCTTAACCTATATTGACATAAACTGGTGAAACTGCAACAGAATTACAGAGTTGGAAGGGACCTTGGAGATCTTCTAGTCCAACCTCCTCTGCTCAAGCAGAAGACCCTATACCATTTCAAACAAGTGATAGTCCAATCTCTTCTTAAAAACTTCCAGTGATGGAGCACCCACAACTACTGAAGGCAAGCTGTTTACTGATTAATTGTTCTAACTCTCAGGAAATTTCCCCTTATTTCTAGGTTGGTTCTCTCCTGGTTTAGTTTCCATCCATTGATTCTTGTCCTG